GGTCGGAGCTCCCTTGCTGGATTTCTTCGCCTTCGAAGGAGATTTTTTTGCAGCCGCTGCAGAAGGTGCAGCAGAAGAAGCTTTAGCCGACGTCGCCGATTTCCCACTTTTCTTTGTCTTAGCTGGAGAAGCTTTCTTCTCGGCCGCACCACCGGCCACCGCCGGTTTCTTAGCCTTCGGAGATGCCTTCTTCGCAGATTTCGCACCGCTAGCTCTCTTAGCTACGGTTCCGCTCTTCTTTGAGCCGGTCGCGGATTTCTTCTTCTTTTCGCCAACCTTTGCGGCTGACGATGATGAAGTTTTCGACGCTCCGCCAGCCGATGACGAAGCTAGCTTGAACGATCCGGAAGCTCCTTTGCCTTTCGTCTGTACTAAAGCTCCAGACGCGACGGACGATTTTAAGTACCTCTTGATGAAAGGCGCAACTTTCTCAGCGTCTACTTTGTAATTAGCGGCTATGTATTTCTTGATAGCTTGCAGAGACGACCCGCCACGCTCTTTTAATCCTTAATTGCGTTGATGACCATTTCGCTAGTAGGAGGATGAGACGGCTTCGCCCTCGGATTCTTCGGTTTTTTCTCCTTTTTCGCAGACGACTGCGACGTCGGCGACGCAGAATTCGCGGTAGCCGTAGCCGACGCGGCGTAATTCTGGTTTTTCCGTATCTGCCATGTTTACGAGTCGTGAAGAGGAGACAGATTATTGTATACGCGCGATCTTTTGCAATCACTGATCGACGATCTCGCTAAGAGAACGAATGTCGAATGAATGTGAGAGGTAAATTCAGCGTCGTGACCCAAGTCATTTCGGTCGGACCGAACATTGAACGCTCCGACTTTGCAGCGAAACCGATTTCGACGGCTTCAATTCTGCCAAGCCTGCGGTCGTATCTGTTGGTTTTTTGAGTCGCTGATATAATTGCATACGAGCAACAGCTAAAACCTGAACGAATATGAATCTGCATAATTTGAAATACACATTTAACTTCGCGACTTGATCACGTACGCTACGTACACGATAAAATTATAAGGTGAAACGTGCAAGGTATCCGCTTTGGACCTAATCGTCCGGCTTTTTGATCTAATTTATATTATACGAATACGTTATATAATTAGATATTTCATGAAATTAACAATCTACGACTATTCGTAATACAATTATACTGTCGGTATACGGCTAATGGATAAGGTATTTTAGATAATCGCAATTATACGGAGGTATGTCTGGCGTACATCCGAACGTGCACAGTCGCGAAATATATCGCGATAATTTTAACATTACTCCTGTAATATGACAAAATAGATAATAATATGAGACATCAATCTATTATTCGTAATAAATAAGCCAGAGTAGAAAAATATTATATATAATATACGAGCGATCGAGTTATAAATTCATCTCTTACTACATATTAATTATTAGACGTACGCATTACTGACTTTTGATCTACGTGAAAGTACCTAATGTTACGTATTACACGCTAACAGCCTGCCTAAACGCCTAAGCAATATATACGGCAAAATATCTATATTATGTCGAATTATCTACATTATAATCACATGCTACTTATAAGTTATTTTACTTCCATACACATACATACAATTCGTACGTTATTAGAATAATATCAATGTAACGGTTTACTACAAAGCACCACAATCCTTCGATATAGGATAACGGGTAATAACTAGCGACTATCGTATAACCATTTAGCGCTATTTTGCATACACGATAATAGTGTCGAAATTGCACGCGTACAAACAACAATCTGATATACTTAACATAATACACGATCCCCTTTTTCTGAACATACTATATGATGGTTCTGAAAAGAACCGTTTTTTTTTTTATAACCTATTATCGCACGCCGTACTCTCTCTCTCTCTCTCTCTCTCTCTTTCCGGCAAATAGTAAATCCGTCAATTCCATTAGGCACGTTCGCCCCTAATACGTCTTGCCAGCTGTATATCTTTCGGCATGATCGTTACTCGCTTAGCGTGGATCGCGCACAAGTTCGTATCCTCGAATAGTCCGACCAGGTACGCTTCGCTAGCTTCTTGGAGTGCCATTACAGCAGAACTTTGGAATCGCAAATCGGTCTTGAAATCTTGCGCTATTTCACGGACCAGCCGTTGGAAAGGCAATTTTCTGATCAACAATTCGGTACTTTTCTGATAACGACGAATTTCTCTGAGAGCCACAGTTCCCGGACGATAACGGTGAGGTTTCTTAACTCCGCCAGTAGCAGGAGCACTTTTACGGGCAGCCTTCGTGGCTAATTGCTTCCTGGGAGCTTTACCTCCGGTGGATTTACGAGCCGTCTGCTTGGTACGCGCCATTACGTTAAATTTCAGATAACTGAATATAAATTATCTATATAGCAGCGACGTGAATATTGCAACGGACAATATTATAGTGAGCGGAGGTAAACACCGCGAACAGTTATATTTATATGGGCTCGAAATACGAAACAGTCTGATTGGCCAATTGATAGACCAATAGGAGGGACGACAACGCTAACAAAACCGGGCGTCACGAGAGACGTACCGTCAGTTGGCAACAGCCCGTTCGCTTTAACAGTTCGACGTGCGAGAGAATCTTGAAAAATGACTGGACGCGGTAAAGGTGGTAAAGGATTGGGAAAAGGAGGAGCGAAAAGGCATCGTAAAGTTTTGAGGGATAACATCCAGGGAATTACGAAACCGGCCATAAGAAGATTGGCGCGACGTGGAGGAGTAAAACGTATATCCGGATTGATTTACGAAGAAACTCGAGGAGTGCTCAAAGTCTTTTTAGAGAACGTAATCAGGGATGCAGTCACTTACACCGAGCACGCTAAAAGGAAGACAGTCACTGCAATGGACGTCGTATATGCATTAAAGAGACAAGGACGCACTTTGTACGGATTCGGTGGTTAAACACTCCGCAGCAATTACCACGGTACAGGTTGAACGAAAATACAATACAAAGAAAAAAAAAACGGTTCTTTTCAGAACCACCATATACTCTCGTGAGAAAGAATGGATCTGCCGATTGAACCGCCACATTAATTTTCTATTTTTTTTTATACAAAATAAAAAGAAACACTCACATAAATGAGTTTATCGGAATATGAGAAATTGATCGACTTATACGTTTTGGCTCTTTGAATTACAATAATCGACGATTTCGGTCCCGATATGTCCCATTATCGAGATACCGGCGAATATTAGACGTGAATGCGACGATGAGATGCCTCGATTAAATAATTTAGTTATTGCCAACTTCTCGCGCCACAACCGATCCGATATCACCCTGAGAAAATTTTTCCATATACAAATGATAATCCCTTCATTTTCTTATTAAATTACTTGTTGGCCCTGAGAAGGGCCGATTGTATGTTCAGAAGATTTTTTTTTTTAGGCTTTCTTCTCCGTCTTTTTCGGCAAAAGAACAGCTTGGATATTAGGGAGAACTCCTCCTTGGGCAATTGTGACGCCTGAAAGCAATTTGTTCAATTCTTCGTCGTTTCTGATGGCCAATTGCAGATGACGTGGAATAATACGGGTCTTTTTATTGTCGCGAGCAGCGTTGCCTGCCAATTCCAAAACTTCAGCGGCCAAGTATTCCATAACGGCCGCTAGATATACGGGAGCTCCGGCACCGACGCGTTCAGCATAATTCCCTTTTCGCAATAACCTGTGGATACGACCGACGGGAAATTGTAGGCCGGCCCTGCTGGATCGGGACTTTGCCTTTCCCTTAACTTTACCGCCTTTTCCGCGTCCTGACATATTCAATTTGTTAATCTGCTAAACGAACGACGTCGACTATGAACTTGCAAATGCACAACATGATCTCCGCGAACGTTGTATTTATATGAACTAACCGACCAATCGACGCGAACGTTTGCCGGCAAACGCCTGGGGGCGGAGTCTACGGTCGTAACGTCACCTGTCTTAAATACGGCCAGAGAATTGCAGTCGTTCCGTGCGGCGACTGAGAATCGTGCAGAAGTGAGCCGAGAAGGCACCAGTGCGAGAGTGATACACAATTTCCAGAGTGCGGTCACAACTGGAAATTGTGTAAAAGTGCAGTGAAGTGAATCGAACTCGGAAGAGTCGATGGTGGTGATCGAGCGCGACACCATAGATAAGGTGACCAAGATGCTGGACGACGAAAACACGTATTCCTCGTCCAGCGAAGAGGAGGAAGAGGTCCAGGAAGAGGAACCTCGACCAAACAGGATGGAAGAGGAAAACCGCGAGCTCAAGAGGCAGATAGCGGAACTATCCTGCCAGCTAGCGGACCTGACGCGTCAGCTACTGGAGGAGAGAAGGATAAGCGCCGAAGAGCGCGAGAAGACGGCCAAGCTCATCGAGCTTATGGCCGCAAGACAAGGGATTGAGATAGACGATCCCAAAAAGAAGACTAAGAGGAAGGCCGATAAGACCGAGGAGGTTGACGAGAAACCAGCCTCCAAGAAAGCGGCAGTGGACCCCTTCCCCCCGCTCCCAAAGAAGAAGACAGTGGAGGAGAAGACCACCCCACCCCCCCCGTCAACCACCGAAGACAGGATGGATACCGAGCAGGCCCAGCCAGCTCCCAAGCCTAAAACAAGAAGGCCGCCACCCCTATATATACATAGGGAAGACCAGTGGCAAACCATGAAGAAGGGAAAGAAGATCCCAGCCGACAAGCCGGCAAAACTCACTAGGACGGGCATAAAGGTCCAACTGACGACTGAGGATGAATTCCGAAGCGTAAGGAAGACGCTCGAGGAGAACAAGGTGGAACACCACACCTACTCCCTGCCAGACGAGAAATCCCTGTCAGTTATCATCAGGGGCATGCCACTGATGACGGGGGAAGACGAAGTTAAAGAGGACCTGGAATCTAAAGGATTCCACCCAAGAAGAGTAAACAGACTCACCAGCAGGCGAACCAGGAAGAAGATCCCGCTGGTCAAGGTGGATCTTCCAAAGGAAGAAAAGAGGATTTACGATCTGACAGAATGCTGTCAGATGATAGTAAAAATCGAGGCACAGAAGAAGAGAGAAGGACCGGGCCAGTGCTACCGGTGCCAGCAGTTCGGGCACAGCCAGCAGAACTGCTCCGGGGCACCGAAGTGCGTGAGATGTGCAGGGGCACATCGCGCATCGGAGTGCAAAGTGCCACAAGAAAGAGCGGCAACCTGCGCCAACTGTGGTGGGAGCCACCCAGCGAACTACGGGGGATGCCCAAGACGCCCGAGCTCAAAACCAAAGAGCAAACCCGCCGCGGAGGAGAAGAAGAAAATCACGAAGCCAGCCCCAGTAAGACCAGGACAGAGCTACGCAAGGGCTGCAAGAAGCAACGAGACGGCCCCCCGAAGGCAGGAAAGACCCTCCACAAACCGGGAAGAAGAAGACGGGGATGAACTGAAGAGGTTCATGGAAACCCACATGGCCCAAATGAAGAGGCTCATCATGAATACCCCCGAAGCCAAGGAGGCATTCATGACAAGCAAGAACAGAAGAAACGCCAACTAAATGGGCAGCCTGCCAACATCTAGGACCCTACGGATATTGAGTTGGAACGTACATAGTGCTTCCAACAAGAAGTACGAGATAGGAGAACTGCTAACTCGAGGGGACTACGATGTGATGGCGTTACAAGAGACAATGCTCTCAAGCAGAGTTCCAAACTGGACCTTCCCAGGGTACACGACGTACAGGAAGGACCGAGACCAGAGAGGCGGTGGCGTGCTGATCTCCGTAAGGAGCAGCATCAGCCACGACCTGCTAGGAATCCCCGATCTGAGGACTACAGAAGCAGTAGGAATAGCCGTGTACACGGAGGACTACGGCACGCTGAACATCATCTCGGTATACATACCACCAACGGTGACTCTGCATATGGACGACATCACGCAAATCAGCGGAATGGGCGAGAGCATTGTCATCATAGGAGATCTCAACGCCAAATCTAGGATCTGGGGCTCGCGCACGAACAACCGACACGGCGAAATCCTTGCGACGCTGATGGACGAACCGGAGTACTCCATACTAGGACCTGACGAACCCACGCTGTACCCAGACAACGGTACAAGGCCTGATGTAATAGACATTGCTATCTTGAAAAAGGTAGACGTGTCTTGCAACATTGGTGTTCTGCAAGAAGGAAGCTCTGACCACAACCCCATATTCCTGGAAATAGGAGAGGGAGCACCAAACGTGGAGAAGAGGATAGCCAGAAGAGTGAACTGGGACCGGTTCCGGCGAACCTTTCACTACTCACTCGGCCCACTACCTCAGATAGAGACTCCTGAAGGCATAGAGGAAGCAGTTCAGGGCCTAGAACGGAAGATCCAGGACGCGCTAGATGCTACTACCACGGTAGAAGACATCACGCAGCCCAACAGGTTCAGAGACCTACCCCCAGAGGTGAACCAGAAGATCACCGACAGAAACAGGGCAAGAAGACTAGCTCAACGAACAGGAGACCCAGAACACAAACGAGAGCTAAAAAGGAAGACCGAAGAGATGAGAAAAGCCCTGATGGAGCACCATCAACGCAGCTGGCAAAGAAAATTAGAGGAACTAACACCAGGTGAGCCAGGAATGTGGAAGCTAGCGAAGATCCTGAGAAATCGCAGACAACAAGTTCCCCCGCTGCAAGGAGCCTACGGGACCGCGTACACGAACGACGAGAAGGTCGAAGCATTCGCAGATAACTTACAACGGCAGTGTACGACATACATGCACCCAGATGAGGACGAAGACTTCGTAGAAGAAGTGGAAAGAAGATCCAGAAGAGCTACGAGAGGAGGAGAAATGGTGCAGCAAGCCACCTCCCCGACGGAAATCAGGGACATCATCAAGACCCTCAAGACCAGGAAAGCAGCGGGCTGCGACCGAATAGGGAACAGAATCCTGAAGAGGCTCCCGAGAAAGGGCATGGTGGCCATAACCAACATCGTGAACGCTATGCTGAGGCACCGATACTTCCCGGACAGATGGAAGATCGCGGAAGTAATAAACATCCCGAAGCCTGGGAAAGACCCAAAATTCCCACAAAACTACCGGCCAATCAGCTTACTAACTTCCTTGAGTAAAGTTGCAGAAAGGGCAATCGAGCGAAGACTTAGACAACAAACCGAGGACCTTAGAGTACTGCCAGACGAACAGTTCGGATTCCGGAGCGGCCATTCATCAGAGCACCAGCTGCTTCGGCTCGTGGAGTGTGGGACGCGTGCGTTCCAGGCTCGGCGAGTCGCGGGAGCGGTGTTCATGGATGTCGCGAAGGCATTTGACACCGTCTGGCACGACGGACTCATCTATAAGATGCAAGACAAGGGATACTCGACAGGGATGATTCAGCTGGTGAAGTCATATCTGAAGAACCGAAGATTCCGGGTTAGACTGGGAAACACCACCTCGACGACCAGAACTGCAGAGGCTGGGGTACCGCAGGGAGCGGTCCTATCCCCTCTACTATACGCCATCTACAGCTCCGACGTTCCGAAGACCCCAAATACGCAGCTGCTGATGTATGCGGACGACACTGCGTACGTAGCCGAGTCATTTCAGCCCCGCATGGCTACGACTTACCTACAAAGAGCGACAACCAGTCTACAGGAATGGTGCAAGAAATGGAGGATCCAGCTAAATCCAGATAAGACCGAGGCGATGCTCCTCAGGAAGAGCCGCAAGACCCCTGAAGGCAACCTCAAGATGACGACCACAGAAGTGCTGAGAGGCCTGGTGCGTGACGAAGAAAAAGAGGTACAGTGGACAGATACCAGCAAGTACCTCGGCGTCAAGATAGATAAGGGTCTCACCTGGAAACACCATATAGAAGCCCAAGTGCAGAAAGCCAAGATGGCAAGAGCCAAGCTAAGACCGATGCTTGGAAGAAGGAGCAAGCTCTCCCTGAACAACAAAATGCTGCTGATCAAGATGGTGCTCCTACCGATTATGACCTACGCGTCAGTTGCTTGGGGCTACGCAGCCAAGACGTGGAAGAAGAAGCTCCAAGCACAACACAACATAGCACTCCGAGAAGCGGTCAACGCACCGTGGTACGTGCCAAACCGAGTGCTATACGAAGACCTGAGACAAGTGCCAGTGCTCGAAGTGATGAAGACCAGAGCTCGGAAGTTCTTCAACAACGCCGAAGAACACGAGAACCAGCTCATCAAGGCCGCCTTGGACTACGATCCAAGGTTCATACATAGGCACAAAAGACCGAAGAGCCAGCTGCTAGAAGATATGGGACACAGCAGCTGATGAGTCCTAAAGAAGAGGGGTAGAACCTCGCGAGGAAGGTACTGCATGCAAGATAGGCAAAGTCCTGTGCAGTACCGGTGGTCAGACGGCGAAGATTTGCCATGCTGAATGCACCGATCTCATTTGAGGTGCGGGGCATTTAGATGGCACTAACAAGCGGGCCTTCTGACGACTTCGGCATTTGTCGGCGTGGTCAGGAGGCAACACTCAAGAAAGAAGATCAAAAAACCGAAGAACCCAAAAGCCGTCTTGGGAAACCTTAATGTGGACCTCAGGTCAAGGTCCCACCGATGGAACCCCAAATAGAGGACGACTCGTAAAACCGGAGAAAGGTACACGAGTATAAATGACCACTTCCGTTCTGCAGCCGTGCTTCCGCGTCGTGATTAGCTTACCACACCTTTCGGCGGGGCAAAATTCCGAGGGGGGGAAAAGCGCGAAAATTTAAAGGGCAAAATTGGGTGGGGGGTGGGGTTTGCGTCCGACAGGAACACAAGTTGCAGGAGCGTCCAGTCCACGTACCGCCACTGGGGCCGGAAAGAGTGAGGGTACCTGGACCGGGGAGGTGGTGGGTTCGCTTAGGAACTTTGTGTTCCTGTTCTCAGTCGTTCCGTTAGTCGAGCGTTGGTGTCGATTATACTCAGCATCATCTCACAATAAAATGCCACCCAAAACTAGCGGTAAGGCTGCCAAAAAAGCGGGCAAGGCGCAGAAGAATATCTCAAAATCTGACAAGAAAAAGAAGCGCAGGAGGAAGGAAAGTTACGCAATTTACATCTACAAAGTACTGAAGCAGGTACATCCCGATACGGGTATATCCAGCAAAGCGATGAGCATCATGAACAGCTTCGTCAACGATATTTTCGAACGTATCGCTGCGGAAGCTTCCAGATTGGCACATTACAACAAACGTGCCACGATAACTAGCAGAGAAATTCAGACAGCCGTACGACTATTGCTACCGGGAGAATTGGCCAAGCACGCAGTCAGCGAAGGTACCAAAGCCGTCACCAAGTACACCAGTTCAAAATAATATAGACGTTGTATTCGCTTCGACGGTTATACGGTTCGAAAAATAAGAACAAAAAAAAAACGGTTCTTTTCAGAACCACTATGTTATGATAAAATGCAAAATGATAATTAGCTGTGGTCGTTATTTTAATCTTTTCATCTATCTCTCTCTCTCTCTCTCTCGCTCTCTCTCTCTCTCTCTCTCTCTCTCTATATATATATATATATATATATATATATATATATATATATATATATATATATATATATATATATATATATATGTATAGAAGAAGTCCGTAATATCTGGAAGATGTCACCTGTATCACTGCACTGGGAAACAGTACCGTGATCGTAGGTGATCTAAACGCGAAGTCCACCATTTGGGGCTCAAGAAACAGAAACAGTCACGGCGCTGTTCTGGAAAGACTAATGGATGAACCTGGATATACCATGATAGGTCCGGACGAACCTACAATATACCCCAGCAACGGAGGTAGACCAGACGTCATAGATATGGCGATTCTGAAGGAAATCGACATGCGCACCACCATCGGCGCCATGCAAGAGGGAAGCTCAGACCACAACCCCATCTTTCTCTGTACGGGAGATGGGATAACACCTGTGGAACAAAGAACAGTGAAGAGAGTGAATTGGCAGCGGTTTAGAACCAGACTGCACTATTCACAAGGACCACTACTACAGATCGAAAGCCCCGAAAGCATAGAAGAAGCGGTCACGGACCTAGAAAGGAAGATTAAGGCTGCGTTAGAAGCCGCAACCACCGTGGAAGACATAACGCAACCAAACAGGTTCAGGGACCTACCTGACGAGGTAAATCGCAAGATCACCGAAAGAAACAGAGCCCGAAGAGTAGCCCAGGAGACCAGAAGCCCCACTGACATCATGGTGGCAAACAGACTTATGAGACAGGCACGAGACGCCTTGAAGCAGCACCATCAGAGCACCTGGGATAAGAAACTCGACGAACTATCTCCAGCTGACCCAGGAATGTGGAACTTGGCTAAAATCCTCAGAAATAGAAGACAGCCCATCCCCCCAATACACAGCGAACAGGGGATGGTGTACACAACCGAAGAGAAGGCGGAAGCTTTTGCTGACAACCTTCAGAGACAGTGTACTCTCAATACTCACCCCGATGAAGACGAAGACTTCATCGACGAGGTGATGAGAAGATCGAGGAGAGCTGTCAGAGGAGGAAGAGCCATCGAAGACATGCCCTCTCCAGGCGAGGTAAGGGAAATCATCGAAAGACTCAAGGTGAAGAAGGCACCGGGTGTAGACGATATTGGGAACAGAGTCCTGAAGAGACTCCCGAGGAAAGCGATAATGGCAATTACCAACATCGTCAACGCCATACTGAGACACCGGTACTTTCCAGATCACTGGAAAGTAGCCGAGGTGATCAACATTCCTAAACCTGGGAAAGACCCAAGGTTCCCCCAAAACTACAGACCCATAAGCCTGTTGACGGCACTGAGCAAGATTGCGGAAAGGGTAATCGAACGAAGACTGAAGAACGAAACCGAAGAACTCCGAGTAGTTCCAGACGAACAGTTCGGATTCCGATGCGGGCATTCAGCAGAGCACCAGGTCCTAAGGCTGGTCGAGATGGCAACGAAATCGTTCCAGACTCGGCGGGCCGTGGGAGCTGTGTTCATGGATGCCGCAAAGGCGTTCGACACTGTTTGGCATGACGGACTGATCTACAAGATGGTAGACCACGGATACTCAAAGGGGATGATCCAACTGGTGAAGTCCTACTTGAAGCACCGAAATTTCCGAATTAGGATCGGTAAAACAACCTCGACGACGAGGACTGTGGAGGCAGGAGTACCGCAGGGAGCGGTTCTACCACCCCTGCTGTATCCAATCTACAGCTCAGACATCCCGAAGACTCCTCAAACGCAACTGTATGTGTATGCGGACGATACAGCATATGCGGCAGAAAGTACGAGACCCCGCATGGTTACGGAATATCTGCAACGAGCGACCACCAACCTAGAGGAATGGTGCATCAAGTGGAAGATCCGCCTCAACCCCGAGAAGACCGAAGCGGTACTGTTCCGAAGAAATCGAAGATTACCTCAGACCAAAATAAAGATGACGACCACCAGAATGGAGAGAGGCTGGAGAAGAGATGAAGAGGTTGAGGTCGACTGGAAAGACTCCAGCACATACCTTGGAGTCAAGATGGACCAGAAACTCACTTGGAAGAACCATGTCGAAGACCGGGTGCAGAAAGTGAAGATGGCACGCTCCAAACTAAGACCCTTAACGGGCAGAAGAAGCAAAGTGTCACTAAAGAATAAGACCATCATGATTCAGATGGTGCTGCTACAAATCATGACTTACGCAGCAGTAGCTTGGGGCTACGTTTCCAAAACGATGAAGAAGAGGCTCCAAGCTCAACAAAACATGGCACTCCGTGAAGCGGTGGACGCACCGTGGTATGTACCTAACAGAGTGCTATATGACGAACTACGACAGGTACCGGTCGTAATCCAGATGAGAGAGAGGGCCAGAAAGTTCTTTGAAAAGAAATGTGCTGATTGAAGCCGCCTTGGATTACGACCCAAGAACAATAAGGCGTCATAAAAGACCGAAAAGCCAGCTGCAACAAGAAGATATTTGGCCCTAGCAGCTGATCAGGCCAAAGAAAAGGGGAGAAGACCGACAATAGTTGTACACCCAAGAGGGGAAAGAACAGCCCGTGTACAACGGGTGGACAAAAAGAAGCCTGTCGATTGAGGTGGCCAGAGTCAAGCACGGACTCGGGGCTAACCTCAGGAGACGAATGACTTACAAATATGACTGACTGACGACGACTGACTGACTCCAGTCGACGAGGAAAGAGCGAAGGCTCACCAACCTTTAGGAGGGGCTTAGGTCGAAAGCCCCCAGCGCAGGACCCCCAAGAAAAGAGGCCGGCCATAAAGTCGAGAACCGACAGTTGGAAGAAACGTCCACCACGCGCTTCCGCGACGCGTGCGCGATCGAGTCAAATTTCGGGAAAAAGGGGCAAAATTGGGGAAGGGGGGATAGCTCGTTCGGCAGCACACACTCGGGGAATGCGCAAGCGGCCTGAACCACGCAGCGCCACTCCAGGCCTTTGGGCGGGAGTGGGGGGAGGAGCTGATTGCTCTTCCCCCCACTCCTCAAGGGTTTGAGGTTGCCTGGAACAGGGGTGGTGGAGGGACCGCACAGGGTAGGAGGGTGTGTGTGTGTGTGTGTGAAGACCGTAGCAGAAGAAGAAGAAGAAGACGAAGACCGTTTTGTAAAATAACAAAATTAAGTAACACAATTTTTTTTATACATTTATAGCCCATAAGTAACAGCAGACCGAATATATTGCCAACGGAAAATCCTTTTTATTTTGGTATTCTGAGTTTAATTGATGTTAACTGCCCAAAATTGATTACTTATCGTTTATTCCTTTCCCCGCGGATCGGTGTATGGTAACTTGTTCTAACAGTTAATAGTATTAACGGAGTGTCATTGTTTTTATTGTTCAACAGCGAAATCAGTCAACATAAGGGTATCCACGATTTCCGAAGGTTAATACAGGGTGTCCGCAAAGTTGGGCTTTTCCTTTTCAGAAACAACTACCCTTGAAATAACAAAGGTAATGCGTAGTGAAACGAGGGCCGACCATGTAAAAAAAATATATAAAGGAAAAAGTACTCACTCTCCAGTTGACCCCATTACGTGTGAACGTAGATTCGTCTGTCACCAATATGCACTTCAAAAAGTCCGGATTATTGTCATGTTGATGCAACAACCACTCACAAAACCGCACTCTTGCTGGAAAATCGTCAGGTTGGACGTTTGCCACACTCTAGTTTGTGATACTCGCACTTCTCTAGCCACGTCTCTAGTGCTTGTTGAGGGATTCTCGTCTACGCGATTCAGTAGTTCTTCCTCAACTAGCACCATTCGTGGTTGTCTAGACCTCCCACTGTGCCCACCTCGATATTCCTCCAAATGGCCCGTATCCCTGACTCTCTGGACCGGGTACACAAATCTGCGGGGCCTTGGATGATGTCGTCTAGGGAAAAGATCTGCATACACTCGCGACGATTCTGTATCATTTTGAAGACGTTCATTAATAAATTAACAACATATCAACGAGTTCATTATTGGTATATGAGTGTGCCATTATTATTATATTTATTATACCTCTATACGCGTGACCCTTTACCGTCGGTTGAAGGTTGCATACTGACCTGACACTCGGACCCCCACCCCCGACCCAGTTCTGTCGTCGGGTTCAGCTAGTAGCCGGTACCTGTCTGGGGCATCGCGGCGGGTGGCGGCTACAGGACGGTATTCAGATATTTTTGATGTTGCAGAGCCCTTTATCTCGGTTCCCTTAAGATATTGGTGTATATGGCACTAAGAAAAATTGCTTATGTTTTCAAGATCTACACGTCGTGTAAAGGATAACCCCAACTTTGCGGACACCCTGTATAATAGAATTAGAACCGTTCGATGTATATATTCTTTTCAAATTACAGTTTTTCGATAACACAGCATAGCATGTCCATATATGTATATATATATATATATATATCATATATATATATATATATATATGATATATATATATATATATATATATATCATATATATATATATATATATATATATATATATATATGTATATACACGTACATAAACATAGAATCACATGTTTATGTACGTGTATATATACATATATATATATATATATATATATATCATATATATATATATATATATATGTATATATACACGTACATAAACATAGAATCACGGAAACGAAATGTAGTACATCGTTATTCGAATATTCGTACATTTTCGAAGTTCGCTCAAGTATATACTTTCGAGACTACAACTGGAATATTAGTCGAAATATTAAAGATCTACACACTTTCCAATATGACGTTGAATCACTGACCGGACGTACAGCGATATCGGATTGTTCGCCTGCGATAATAGTATGGCCGCTATTAATGGGAA